GCACATATAACATATACAACAACAACAACCATTACCTACGTCGAATCAAGCCCCAAAAACTCTAAAGAGCTAGAGCTTTCCCTTTGTTATGAACTCTGGTTTATTCTTGGTCTAACAATAATAACAAATACAATAATCAGTCAAAGATAACCTAATAATACTCAGATTATAACAAAATCCTAACCAATGGTCATTCCCATGATCATTTACCCAACAAGGATTCCTTCCACCATTAATTCAAGTTAAAGCCTTTTACCCAAAGTTAACAACCTAGATTCTAAGTATTAAGGATCAAAATACAAGTTGGGGGAAGTAATAATTACCTTTATCAAAGAAATTGGTAGAAAACTGGAAACTGCCCCTATTCGCCCTTTCTAGTTCCAAGAACGAAGTCGCAAAAAATAAGAGGGTTTTTAATACTTTTCTACACAACCCCGACTAACCCTGCTATAGCATCCCGACTCGCTATAGTGACGTCGCCATAGCGGTCCGCTACACTATAACAGAAATTAATTCATCTATGGTGGTGTTACACCCTCTATAGCGGCTTACACGGAGGTAGAAACTTGTAAATCCTTCCCCAAACTCCCATTTCACAACACACCTTCGAATCTTGATGCTCTAAACAAACCTCTCCACGTCAATTCAAATTTTGAGGAGTTTTATTCACTCGAATTTGACCTCGAAAAGCTCTATGGATTCCTTGATGTCTTAATTAGCTACTACGAAACAAGATCCAAGCTTAGACATGCCACTCAATCCATTTGTGGATTGACCTAAACCTCACCTTAGTCAGATTCTATTTGAGACTGGCACAACTAATTAGAATTTTGATTCATTACTCAAAAAGTTTTCTGGCCCAATTCTTTCGCCTCTGGCCTCTCCATAAAGACCGGAAGGGGTCATTACACTTCGAATATAAGAATTGCTCAAAAGAATATCATAAAAACTTTATCAAAATGTTCGATTGGTTAAGTTAAGGGTTATGTCAATCTCTAAACATTGCCTTATTACTGTACAAATGAATTGGTCATTGAAGGTTTTCATGAAGTTCTACATTTCTCAATGACATTAACTAAAAATGTAAATAAATTGAGGATGTAATTGAAAGAGAAAAAAATTATACTTGCTTGATTTTTCAAAAATAACAAGTAAAAGTAGAAATCAAATTATAAAATATTGGACAAGTAAATCCAAACGGAGTTAGTATGCTGTAACGACCTGTTTAGTCGTTTTGAGCAGCAGATTTCAATTCAGGAAAAAACAAGCAGAAGCGACGGACCCCACGACGGACCGTCATGGGCACAACGGACCGTCGCAGGATCTCGTTTCAAAACACTTAGAAAATCTGAAATTGGATACTGAAAATCGACTCTCTGAACTTCGTAACGGAATGGCAGGACGGACCGTCACAGACCCTTCAGAGAAATTGAGTCTCTGAAGTCTGTGACGGAGCAGCAGGACGGACCGTCGCAGGCGCGACGGGCCGTCACAGACTGCGTAATCCCAGTCTGGGTCAGATTTCTTGATACGTTTTAAGGGACGTTTTTGACTATTCCTGCTTTAATTATAAAGTTAGTGGGTTAATGTTAATAAGTCTAATTACTAG